TCCGTCTCAGGTCAGTGTTAGAATCTTAAAATATGACATCAGTCATTATGCATTATGTACATGTTTTTGTTAACTTCAAACAAGTGAGGACCACTTCTTAAAAATAGCAATGATAAATGTATACACATTGGTCCATCAGTCATTATGTACATTTTTTAAACTTCAAATACATGTGTGGACCACTCCTTAGATCTCACAATGATAAATGTGTGCACATTATCTGTTGGCTTTTTCATATTGTCTTATATACCGTCTTTTCTTACTATTCGCTGCCCAGTTTCTATGCATTTCCTCTTGAGTCAAAATAGATTGTTATCTCATGCTTATATTTTCATTTATTTCAGCGATACTTCAAGTCACATTTCATTCAGTGCGTGATGACGAACAAGCTATTGATGATCAGCGCTCACAAAATTTGCAGTTATGCCTCCCAAACGACAAGCAATTGGCCCATCTACACCTAAAACACGCAAGAGAAGGGCATTAATTGCTTCAGAAACAGACGAGCAACGTAAGGTAAGACTGGAAACCATTCGAGTGCGCACTGCTGAAGCCCGTTCATCTAAATCAGACCAGCAACGGAAAGCAAGACTAGAAAACGTTCAAGTGCGCACTGTTGAAGCCAGATCGTCTCAGTCAGACGAGCAACGAGAAGCAAGATTGGAAACCAATAGAGTACGCACTGCTCAAATCCGTTTATCAGACACAGTCGAGCAACGGAAAGCAAGACTGGACACCGTTCGAATGCGCACTACTTTATCCAGGCGAACACTGCATGTTGATTTGAATCTTGGTGCATTCCATTACAACAGCAATTATGATTACAGTCTTCATCTACAGGTGCTTATTGGCAAAATGGATAAATTGTGCGTACATTGCAGTGCCTTCAAATTTAAGAATGACATGCGGGGTATGTGCTGCGCTGGTGGAAAAGTTAAATTGCCAGTATTACATTCACCAACCGAACCATTATCATCATTGGTAGCAGGTGACACAGGCCAGTCGACACATTTCTTGGCAAACATAAGTACATTTGCAAATATGTCAACAAAGGAGGCGATGTGGCAGTCTTTGGAGTTGGACATGCAGCTGCATCTATCGATGAAATCAAGCAATATCAGCTGGGGCGCTACATTAGTAGCAATGAAGCGGTATGGCGCATTTTGTCATTTCCAATTCATAAACGACATCCAGCAGTTGTTCATTTGGCAGTGCACCTTGACAATGGACAGCGCGTGTACTTCACTACAGAAAATGCACATGCACGAGCATTGTTACCACCGCCAACCACGTTAACTGATTTTTCTCATTGTGTAGAGATGATATGTTTGCAAAGACACTACTTTATTCTGACCTGCCAACACACTACACATGGAATGGATCAGCTAATAAGATCAATGTTGCAAGCAAGGTCAAGCGGTTGGCTCCTACTTTATATTCTACTGATGTTTTAGGTCGTTCATCCCAAAAATGCAGATTGCTTTTACTTGCGATTAATTTTAATCAACAAACGGGGACCGACATCCTTCCAGGACTTGAGAACAGTTTATGGTAAAGTATGTGCTACTTACTGTGAAGCTTGCCAAGAATTAAATCTTCTTGACAATGATGCACATTGGGACACTTCACTCGCTGATGCTTCGAATACTGCTCGACCACAGCAAATACGCACATTATTTGCAATAATATTAACACCTCGCTTTCCATTCAATTCAAAAGAGCTTTGGGAAAAAATAATATTGCACTGGCAATCACAACTTCTGGATTTGCTGCAACTCTTTTGGGTGGTGGCCGAACAGCGCATTCAGCACTGAAGTTGCCTTTCAATATGCATATCACTGAGACATCAACATGCAATATCAACAATGATTCTGCAATGGGTAAAGTACGCAAAGTATGTCAACTCATTATATGGGACGAAGTTTTCTGTAATATCACACAGAATTACATAAATCATCAGTTGCTCAGTGAAGGTGCTACCTTAGCAGCTAAAAACAAGGATGTGTATGCCATGAATCCGAACATCTAAGACAAATTACCAGGCGGAGTGACAATGTATAAGTCTATCGATACTGTAATGATTCAAGACGAGGTTGTCAATTATCCAACTGAGTTCTTTAATTCGCTTGATTTGCCAGGCATGCCACCCCATGTTTTAACCTTGAAAGTTGGCGTGCCTGTTATTCTTCTCAGAAACATCAATCCGCCACATCTTTGCAGTGGTACCAGGCTTTCAGTGAAAAAGATGGTGCCCAATATCATCGTAAGTACAATTTTACATGAACATTTAAGGGCCAGGATATACTATTGCAACGCAATTCCAACAGACATGCCATTTAACTTTAGATACTTGCAGTTTCTGGTGCGACTCACCTTAGTATTGACCATCAACAAATCACAGGGACAATCAGAACAATTGTGTGGACTAAATTTGGAACATCCATGCTTTTCACATGGACAGCCATATGTTCAAGCGTCGGAAAATCTACTGATTTATTCGTGTACGCACCAGGCGGAAAAACTAAGAACAATTACATTTTAAATTGCCTGTTTTTTTCCTAAGGATTTGTAAACAGCACAATGATCCAAAATAAATACTACATATTGTTATATCGACTTTCCTTTCAATTGAATTTCTATTAGAGGCGTAGCAACGCGCGCTTGGTACAGTTTACCATAGCAATCATTTCGTAATTATTGTGTATTTTTCCTGTTTTCATAGCTTTTCACTTGGGTAATTTTTCCGACTACTTCAATGTACAAAGCAAGATTTCTATTTTCTTTCTTTTCAATTCAGCCAAACTATGCCACAGCAACGCGTGGCCGGATACAGCTAGTTATATATAAGAACCAGTAGACGCCAGCATGTGGATGTCAGTAAGTGAACAAGGACAGGCTAGCAGTGAGAATGATGTAAGGAAAGGCTTGGACGTCATGTAAGGAATAGATGAGACATGATGTAAGTACTGGCTGGGTCGTGGTGTAAGGACTTGCTGGGTCATGATGTAAGCACTGGCTGGGTCATGGTGTAAGGACTGGCTGGGTCATGATGTAAGGACTGGCTGGGTCATGGTGTAAGCACTGGCTGGGTCATGATGTGAGGACTGGCTAGGTCATGGTGTAAGCACTGGCTGGGTCATGATATAAGGACTGGCTGTGTCAGGGTGTAAGGACTTGCTGGGTCATGATGTAAGCACTGGCTGGGTCATGATGTAAGCACTGGCTGGGTCATGATGTAAGGACTGGCTGGGTCATGATGTAAGGACTGGACGGGTCATGATGTAAGGACTGGCTGGGTCATGGTGTAAGCACTGGCTGGGTCATGATGTAAGGACTGGCTGGGTCATGGTGTAAGCACTGGCTGGGTCATGGTGTAAGCACTGGCTGGGTCATGATGTAAGGACTGGCTGGGTCATGATGTAAGCACTGGCTGGGTCATGGTGTAAGGACTGAGTGGGTCATGGTGAAAGGACTGAGTGGGTCATAATTTAAGGACATGTTGGGACATGAAAAAAAGACAGACTGGGACATGGTACAAGGACTTGCTGAGTTATTGTGTGAGAACGGATGGAGCATGCTATAAGGTAGGGCTCATATGTGATGTTATGAAACAGTTCAGGTGGGCTGTGGCGGTGGGCTGTGGCGGTGGACTGTGGCGGTGGGCTGATGATCAGTATCTCTTCGCTTTCCAGCAGTGAGCGGAGCAAGGCACACACCTGTGCTGGCAGCTGACAATGACTGTCAAAGAAAGTGCTACTAATCCACCAAGCAGAATGCCAGGAAAGCCCCTATATTAGCTTACCAGAAAAACTTTGCGGAAAGATCACACACTTGAAGAGTAAACCATCTATTTTACCTCTCCTGGATGCAATTTTTTAATATCCAGAAATCATGAGTTGTTAACCCTTTGGCTCGGTACTGTGGATAACATAACCCTTCGGTGTTAATTCCATGATAGGTACCGTAAGTCTGGGAGAAATATGGCTTTTCTGCCTACCCCAGGCGTGAACCCGGACCACAAGGAGTTCGTCACCCAGTCACCGCAAAGTTAGGTTTAGCTAACTTCGCTAGAGAGCCGAGGCCTGGATGCAAATTGACGATTTAACCAACAATGCGATTTATAGACCCAACCATGCGATTTCTAGACCCAACCATACGATTTCTAGAGCCAACCATGCGATTTCTAGAACCAACCATGCGATTTCTAGACCCAACCATGCGATTTATAGACCCAACCATACGATTTCTAGACCCAACCATGCGATTTCTAGACCCACCCATGCGATTTCTAGACCCAACCATGCGATTTCTAGACCCAACCATACGACTTCTAGAGCCAACCATACGATTTCTAGAGCCAAACATGCGATTTCTAGAACCAACCATGCGATTTCTAGACCCAACCATGCGATTTCTAGAACCAACCATGCGATTTATAGAGCCAACCATACGATTTCTAGACCCAACCATGCGACTTTTAGAGCCACCCATACGACTTCTAGAGCCAACCATGCGATTTATAGACCCAACCATACGACTTCAAGAGCCAACCATACGACTTCTAGAGCCACCCATACGACTTCTAGAGCCAACCATGCGATTTATAGACCCAATCATACGACTTCTAGAGCCAACCATGCGATTTATAGACCCAACCATACGACTTCTAGAGCCAACCATACGACTTCCAGAGCCAACCATGCGATTTATAGACCCAACCATACGACTTCTAGAGCCAACCATGCGATTTATAGACCCAACTATACGACTTCTAGAGCCAACCATACGATTTATAGACCCAACCATACGACTTCTAGAGCCAACCATGCGATTTATAGACCCAACCATACGACTTCTATAGCCAACCATGCGATTTATAGACCCAACCATACGACTTCTAGAGCCAACCATGCGATTTATACACCCAACCATACGACTTCTAGAGCCAACCATACGATTTATAGACCCAACCATACGACTTCTAGAGCCAACCATGCGATTTATAGACTCAACCATGCGATTTCTAGGGCCAACCATACGACTTCTAGGGCCAACCATACGACTTCTAGGGCCAACCATACGACTTCCAGAGCCAACCATACGACTTCCAGAGCCAACCATACGACTTCCAGAGCCAACCATACGACTTCCAGAGCCAGCCATACGACTTCCAGAGTCAACCATACTTCTAGACCCGACCATAAGAATTCTAGAGCCAACCATACGACTTCTAGAGCCAACCATACGACTTCTAGAGCCAACCATACTTCTAGAGCCAACCATACTTCTAGAACCATCCATACGACTTCTAGAGCCAACCATACTTTTAGAGCCAACCATACGACTTCTAGAGCCAACCATGCGATTTCTTGAACCACATCCTGTGCAACAACAAGACAGACCCCAGATATCTCGCGCAGTCTCCAAAGAAGTTGAAATGAGGCCACACGACTTCTGGCCTGGTGTAACCGGAACTCCTATGCGGAGAAACACATCTTGGAAATTGAAATGTTCAGAATTTCAGGCGTTTTTCAAATCCATTAATACAAAACTGGTCAAGTAGTAATAGCTGGCCAACCAAGTATGAGACACTGGGTTCGATTCACGGTATGGGATACAGATTCTTTCTGTGGGTGGCATAAATAAAAATCCACAGCTGCACAGTCCATGGCAACTGCACTACTCATGCAGCACTAATCCTAAGACCCCCTCCCTCCTCCTAACATACACCGCCCTAAAAATTGTCAACACAAGAAGGTATTTTTTCTGTCAGATTGAATTCCCAGACAGGTATATTTATGTTTTCCTGTCTCTCAGTCCGTTGTTCTTTACTGGATTCACCTTAACGACTTTCGTCAACAATCCTAGATTTTTGTGTTTCTTGTTTGTTGAGCGGCATACAATTATATTTTTCTAGTGTACACAACAATTGCACCTCATGGGTCTCAGCGAAAATGTTTTCAGTAATCGAAGGGAACTAACCGTGACTATATATTTAAACAGTTCAGCTAATTACGTCCCTTTATCAAAGAAACGACAGTGACGGGCAAGAGACCATTGAGACATCGGCGATGGCGACAGTTCAGATTTGTATTTCTTAACCTGTTATTTTGATAAAGTTGGTGTTTACCTAATTATTTGTTGATCAGAATCTTCTGTCTTGGTCTGTCTCTACATATCTTCCCCTCCAAGCGACAGGATACAAAAATATTGGCAAAATAAATAAAGGGCTTAAGGATAACCACACAACTGGTACTGAAAACACAACACACCTTTTGCTATAATATAGTTTGATCTAAACAATGTGAACAGTTCTTTATTTGTTAAGTCTGTGTTTCTGTCATAATCTATGTTTCTCCATCTTATCTTGGCATCCTGTCAACCATAACAACTCTCATAATGCTATTTCTGTGACTACCTATAACAAGAAATGTTATTTTAAAACCTGGATACCAGAAAAACTGTGCATAAATACCTGGGCCAGCATTAGGGCTCTCTGTAACTGCTGATGTTGTTCAACATTTACACAAGACTGGCCAGAATCTAGCACACTGGACCACGATAAACCATGACACTGGTTGGTTGACTGACATGTAAGTGCCAGGATAAACCAGGACACTGGTTGATTGACTGACATGTAAGTGCCAGGATAAACCAGGACACTGGTTGGTTGACTGACATGTAAGTGTAAGGATAAACCATAACACTGGTTGGTTGACTGACATGTAAGTGCCAGGATAAACCAGGACACTGGTTGGTTGACTGACATGTAAGTGTAAGGATAAACCATAACACTGGTTGATTGACTGACATGTAAGTGCCAGGATAAACCAGGACACTGGTTGATTGACTGACATGTAAGTGCCAGGATAAACCAGGACACTGGTTGGTTGACTGACATGTAAGTGTAAGGATAAACCATAACACTGGTTGGTTGACTGACATGTAAGTGCCAGGATAAACCAGGACACTGGTTGGTTGACTGACATGTAAGTGTAAGGATAAACCAGGACACTGGTTGGTTGACTGACATGTAAGTGTAAGGATAAACCAGGACACTGGTTGATTGACTGACATGTAAGTGTAAGGATAAACCAGGACACTGGTTGATTGACTGACATGTAAGTGTAAGGATAAACCAGGACACTGGTTGATTGACTGACATGTAAGTGTAAGGATAAACCAGGACACTGGTTGGTTGACTGACATGTAAGTGTAAGGATAAACCATAACACTGGTTGATTGACTGACATGTAAGTGTAAGGATAAACCATAACACTGGTTGGTTGACTGACATGTAAGTGTAAGGATAAACCATAACACTGGTTGGTTGACTGACATGTAAGTGTAAGGATAAACCATAACACTGGTTGGTTGACTGACATGTAAGTGTAAGGATAAACCAGGACACTGGTTGATTGACTGACATGTAAGTGCCAGGATAAACCAGGACACTGGTTGGTTGACTGACATGTAAGTGTAAGGATAAACCATAACACTGGTTGGTTGACTGACATGTAAGTGCCAGGATAAACCAGGACACTGGTTGGTTGACTGACATGTAAGTGTAAGGATAAACCATAACACTGGTTGATTGACTGACATGTAAGTGTAAGGATAAACCAGGACACTGGTTGGTTGACTGACATGTAAGTGTAAGGATAAACCATAACACTGGTTGATTGACTGACATGTAAGTGTAAGGATAAACCATAACACTGGTTGGTTGACTGACATGTAAGTGTAAGGATAAACCATAACACTGGTTGGTTGACTGACATGTAAGTGTAAGGATAAACCATAACACTGGTTGGTTGACTGACATGTAAGTGTAAGGATAAACCAGGACACTGGTTGGTTGACTGACATGTAAGTGTAAGGATAAACCAGGACACTGGTTGGTTGACTGACATGTAAGTGTAAGGATAAACCAGGACACTGGTTGGTTGACTGACATGTAAGTGTAAGGATAAACCAGGACACTGGTTGGTTGACTGACATGTAAGTGTAAGGATAAACCATGACACTGGTTAGTTGACTGACATGTAAGTGCCAGGATAAACCAGGACACTGGTTAGTTGACTGACATGTAAGTGTAAGGATAAACCAGGACACTGGTTGGTTGACTGACATGTAAGTGTAAGGATAAACCAGGACACTGGTTGGTTGACTGACATGTAAGTGTAAGGATAAACCAGGACACTGGTTGGTTGACTGACATGTAAGTGTAAGGATAAACCAGGACACTGGTTGGTTGACTGACATGTAAGTGTAAGGATAAACCAGGACACTGGTTAGTTGACTGACATGTAAGTGTAAGGATAAACCATGACACTGGTTGGCTGACTGACATGTAAGTGCCAGGCCCAGCTAACATACAAAACATAAACATGTACTACCAAGAGCAAACAACTCTCATTATTGCACCAAACATTTTGTGGTTAACACATACCAGGACTGCGTCAAGTCTCTCTTCACGGTAAACTTGTCTTTGCTTAAAAACAGAAGATCATTTTAGGCATATAAGTCTTGAAATTGAAGGAACATGTTAGTTGTTTTAATTAAAATATCATTATACTCTGACGAAGAAAGTAATTTCACTGCTATCATAGCCGGTTACACAGAGTGCTCTCCCTTGTCCATCCACAAAACGGCCTCCAACAAGTTGGCTATTCTTCACAGTCTCCCCGTGGCAGAACTCAATCTGTGAGACATGGACAACAAATTTATCAAACAAAAGTACTGTCTCAAACACACTTTGGGAAACAGACCAGCACTGTATCAAACACACTTTGGGAAACAGACCAGCACTGTATCAAACACACTTTGGGAAACACCGGAACTGTTTCAAACACACTGAGGAAACAGATCAGCACTGTATCAAACACACTTTGGGAATAAGACCAGAACTGTATCAAACAAACTCAGACAGTGGGAATAAGACCAGAACTGTATCAAACAAACTCAGACAGTGGGAATAAGACCAGAACTGTATCAAACAAACTCAGACAGTGGGAATAAGACCAGAACTGTATCAAACAAACTCAGACAGTGGGAATAAGACCAGAACTGTATCAAACAAACTCAGACAGTGGGAATAAGACCAGAACTGTATCAAACAAACTCAGACAGTGGGAATAAAACCAGAACTGTATCAAACAAACTCAGACAGTGGGAATAAGACCAGAACTGTATCAAACAGTGGGAATAAGACCAGAACTGTATCAAACAAACTCAGACAGTGGGAATAAGACCAGAACTGTATCAAACAAACTCAGACAGTGGGAATAAGACCAGAACTGTATCAAACAAACTCAGACAGTGGGAATAAGACCAGAACTGTATCAAACAAACTCAGACAGTGAGAATAAGACCAGAACTGTATCTAACAAATGAAGACTGTGGGAATAAGACCAGAACTGAATCAAACAAACTCAGACTGTGGGAATAAGACCAGAACTGTATCAAACAAACTCAGACTGTGGGAATAAGACTAGAACTGTATCAAGCAAACTCAGACTGTGGGAATAAGACCAGAACTGTATCAAGCAAACTCAGACTGTGGGAATAAGACCAGAACTGTATCAAGCAAACTCAGACTGTGGGAATAAGACCAGAACTGTATCAAGCAAACTCAGACTGTGGGAATAAGACCAGAACTGAATCAAACAAACTCAGACTGTGGGAATAAGACTAGAACTGTATCAAGCAAACTCAGACTGTGGGAATAAGACCAGAACTGTATCAAGCAAACTCAGACTGTGGGAAACAGACCAGAACTGTATCAAACAGACTGTGGTAATAGGACTAGAACTGTGTCCAACAGACTGTGGGAATAAGAACAGAACTGTATCAAACAGACTGTTGGAATAAGACTAGAACTGTGTCAAACAGACTGTTGGAAAAAGACTAGAACTGTGTCAAAGAGACTGTGGGAATAAGACCAGAACTATATCAAACAGACTATGGGAATAAGACTAGAACTGTGTTAAATAGACTGTGGGAATAAGACCAGAACTATATGAAACAGACTGTGGGAATAAGACTAGAACTGTGTCAAACAGACTGTGGGAATAAGACCAGAACTGTATCAAACAGACTGTGGGAATAAGACCAGAACTGTATCAAACAAACTCACACTGTGGGACCAGAACTGTATCAAACAGACTGTGGGAATAAGACTAGAAATGTGTCAAACAGACTGAGGGAATAAGACCAGAACTATATCAAACAAACTTAGACTGTGGGAATATGACCAGAACTGTATCAAATGGACTGTGGGGAAAAAGACCAGAACTATATCAAACAGACAGTGGGAATAAGACTAGAACTGTATCAAACAGACTGTGGGAATAAGACTAGAACTGTGTCAAACAGACTGTGGGAATAAGACCAGAACTGTATCAAACAGACTGTGGGAAACAGACCAGAGCTGTATCAAACAAACTCACACTGTGGGAATACGACCAGAACTGTATCAAGCAAACAGACAGACTGTGGGAATAAGACCAAAACTGTATCAAACAGACTGTGGGAAACAGACCAAAACTGTATCAAAAAGACTGTTGGAAACTGACCAAAACTGTATCAAACAGACTGTGAGAAACAAACAACAATTGTATGAAACCAACTCAGACTGTGAGAAACAGACCAAAAAATATATGAAAAAGGCAATAAGAAAATAAATACTGAAACATGAGTGAGAGCTTGCTGCTGTGACAAGAAAAGCTGAGATAGAAAATTGAGAAAGGACAAAAGCATTGTGCCTAAATAACACAAGGAAACAGAAACCATAATAATAAAAAGGAAAATTCATCACAGCGGGAGGGGGGGGGGCATTCAGCAGACACCTAAAGGATACTCAGGACTTATATGGGACACATACATTCATTGTAGGGACATTCAATATACACTTTACAGGCTTTCAAACAGCACTTAGGGGACGCTAAAAGTACACGTGGGTACTGGTTACTGACCTCAAGAACTGAATGATATATAAGACTCAAAAAAAAGGTTTGTTAAAATTAGTTGGGAGACATTTCATGCTTTCCTCAGAGATGTTTCATACTCATTTCACACATATCTAAGAGACATTTCACACATATCTAAGGGACACTTCACACCTATCTAAGGTATATTTCACACATATCTAAGGGACATTTCACACATATCTAAGGTATATTTCACACATATCTAAGGTATATTTCACACATATCTAAGGTATATTTCACACATATCTAAGGTATATTTCACACATATCTAAGGTATATTTCACACATATCTAAGGTACATTTCACACATATCTAAGGGACATTTCACACATATCTAAGGGACATTTCACACATATCTAAGGTATATTTCACACATATCTAAGGTATATTTCACACATATCTAAGGTATATTTCACACATATCTAAGGGACATTTCACACATATCTAAGGTATATTTCACACATATCTAAGGGACATTTCACACATATCTAAGGGACACTTCACACCTATCTAAGGTATATTTCACACATATCTAAGGTACATTTCACACATATCTAAGGTACATTTCACACATATCTAAGGGACATTTCACACATATCTAAGGGACATTTCACACATATCTAAGGGACATTTCACACATATCTAAGGGACATTTCACACATATCTAAGGGACATTTCACACATATCTAAGGTATATTTCACACATATCTAAGAGACATTTCACACATATCTAAGGGACATTTCACACATATCTAAGGTATATTTCACACATATCTAAGGGACATTTCACACATATCTAAGGGACATTTCACACATATCTAAGGGACATTTCACACATATCTAAGAGACATTTCACACATATCTAAGAGACATTTCACACATATCTAAGGGACATTTCACACATATCTAAGAGACATTTCACACATATCTAAGAGACATTTCACACATATCTAAGGGACATTTCACACATATCTAAGGTATATTTCACACATATCTAAGGGACATTTCACACATATCTAAGGGACATTTCACACATATCTAAGGTATATTTCACACATATCTAAGGGACATTTCACACATATCTAAGAGACATTTCACAACTATCTAAGGGACACTTCACACCTATCTAAGGTATATTTCACACCTATCTAAGGTATATTTCACACATATCTAAGGTATATTTCACACATATCTAAGAGACATTTCACACCTATCTAAGGTATATTTCACACCTATCTAAGAGACATTTCACACCTATCTAAGGTATATTTCACACCTATCTAAGGTATATTTCACACATATCTAAGGTATATTTCACACATATCTAAGAGACATTTCACACATATCTAAGGGACATTTCACACATATCTAAGGTATATTTCACACATATCTAAGGGACATTTCACACATATCTAAGGGACACTTCACACCTATCTAAGGTATATTTCACACATATCTAAGGGACATTTCACACATATCTAAGGTATATTTCACACATATCTAAGGGACATTTCACACATATCTAAGGTATATTTCACACATATCTAAGGGACATTTCACACATATCTAAGGTATATTTCACACATATCTAAGGGACATTTCACACATATCTAAGGGACACTTCACACCTATCTAAGGTATATTTCACACATATCTAAGGGACATTTCACACATATCTAAGGGACACTTCACACCTATCTAAGGTATATTTCACACCTATCTAAGGGACATTTCACACATATCTAAGGGACATTTCACAACTATCTAAGAGACTTTCACACCTATCTAAGGGACACTTCACACCTATCTAAGGTATATTTCACACCTATCTAAGGGACATTTCACACATATCTAAGGGACATTTCACAACTATCTAAGAGACTTTCACACCTATCTAAGGGACACTTCATACCTATCTAAGCTACATTTCACACATATCTAAATGACATTTCACAAATGTCTAAGGGACAGTTCACCCCTATCTAAGGGCAATTTCACACCTAGCTAAGGGACATTTCACCCCTATCTAAGGCACAGTTCACACATATCTAAGGGACAGTTCACACATATCTAAGGGACAGTTCACCCCTATCTAAGGGCAATTTCACACCTAGCTAAGGGACATTTCACCCATATCTAAGGGACAGTTCACTCATATCTAAGGGACATTTCAAACCTAAGTAAGGAACATTTCCCACTTACCTGAGGGACATTCAAGGCTTTGAGATGCCACACCCTGAAGAATGTGTCATCACTCACAGATAATACCTGAGAGACAAAGTTAGGTCCACTATTTAGAGGTCACTAACATTTAATACATAGGTAAACACAATGAGAATGGCATGTGATCTCACATAAGTTACTAGAACAGAGAACAAGTTCTCCATACAAAAAATACTCACACAAGTGGCAACAACAGGAAGAAAGTACTCACACTAGTGGCTACAACAGGAAGAAAGGATTCCCACTAGTGGCTACAACAGGAAGAAAGGATTCCCACTAGTGGATACAACAGAAAGAAAGGATTCCCACTAGTGGATACAACAGGAAGAAAGGATTCACACTAGTGGATACAACAGGAAGAAAGGATTCCCACTAGTGGATACAACAGGAAGAAAGGATTCCCACTAGTGGATACAACAGGAAGAAAGTATTCACACTAGTGGCTACAACAGGAAGAACGTATTCACACTAGTGGCCTCAAAAGGAAGAAAGTATTCACACTAGTGGCTACAACAGGAAGAAAGTATTAACACTAGTGGCCTCAAAAGGAAGAAAGTACTCACCCTAGTGGCTACAACAGGAAGAACGTATTCACACTAGTGGCTACAACAGGAAGAAAGTATTCCTAGTGGCCTCAACAGGAAGAAAGTATTCACACTAGTGGCCTTAAAAGGAAGAAAGTATTCTCACATTAGTGGCTTCAACAGGAAGAAAGTATTCTCACATTAGTGGCTACAACAGGAAGAAAGTATTCCTAGTGGCCTCAACAGGAAGAAAGTATTCACACTAGTGGCCTCAAAAGGAAGAAAGTATTCTCACATTAGTGGCTTCAACAGGAAGAAAGTATTCTCACATTAGTGGCTTCAACAGGAAGAAAGTATTCTCACATTAGTGGCTTCAACAGGAAGAAAGTATTCACACTAGTGGCTACAACAGGAAGAAAGTATTCACACTAGTGGCTACAACAGGAAGAAAGTATTCTCACATTAGTGGCTACAACAGGAAGAAAGTATTCCTAGTGGCCTCAACAGGAAGAAAGTATTCACACTAGTGGCCTCAAAAGGAAGAAAGTATTCTCACATTAGTGGCTTCAACAGGAAGAAAGTATTCTCACATTAGTGGCTTCAACAGGAAGAAAGTATTCTCACATGAGTGGCTTCAACAGGAAGAAAGTATTCTCACATGAGTGGCTTCAACAGGAAGAAAGTATTCTTACACTAGTGGCTACAACAGGAAGAAAGTACTCACACTAGTGGCTACAACAGGAAGAAAGTACTCACACTAGTGGCTACAACAGGAAGAAAGTACTCACACTAGTGGCTACAACAGGAAGAAAGTACTCACACTAGTGGCTAAAACAGGAAGAAAGTACTCACACTAGTGGCTACAACAGGAAGAAAGTACTCACACTAGTGGCTACAACAGAAAGAAAGTACTTACAAAAGTAAAAACACATTAATACGTTGTCAGAACCCTGTTTGAACAGTCATGGGATGGTGCATACCATAGAGACAGTGTACAGTGTGTAAGTGCATAACGGAGAGTTGACAGAAAGGTCAGCACGGTAAAAATCATGACTGTCCATGTATGTGCTGGGATGACTGTCCATGTATGTGTGGGGATGACTGTCCATGTATGTGCTGGGGTGACTGTCCATGAATGTGCTGGGGTGACTGTCCATGAATGTGCTGGGGTGACTGTCCATGTATGTGCTGGGGTGACTGTCCATGTATGTGCTGGGGTGACTGTCCATGTATGTGCTGGGGTGACTGTCCATGTATGTGCTGGGGTGACTGTCCATGTATGTGTTGGGGTGACTGTCCATGTATGTGCTGGGGTGACTGTCCATGTATGTGTTGGGATGACTGTCCATGAATGTGCCGGGGTGACTGTCCATTATGTGCTGGGGTGACTGTCCATGTATGTGCTGGGGTGACTGTCCATGTATGTGTTGGGATGACTGTCCATGAATGTGCTGGGGTGACTGTCCATGAATGTGCCGGGGTGACTGTCCATGTATGTGCTGGGGTGACTGTCCATGTATGTGCTAGGATGACTGTCCATGTATGTGCTGGGGTGACTGTCCATGAATGTGTTTGGAAGGCTCATGGGGAAAATACAGTTCAGCCCCACACAGTTGTGAAGATGATCAAGCCTGGCTGAACCGAAGGCTCCAGTGGTGGGTCCCAACTGAGATAGCTGACAGTGACAAAAAGCCACAAGGTGTTCGGACAAAGGGGATTCGGACAGCAGACAGAAGATAGGTGGATGGAGTAGAATCTTAGCGTGTTATAGTCATATTCTAGTGACCGAATAGATTGTGATGTTTTTTGTTACGATAGCATAGCTTTTCTGTGTTGTGTAGCGTCCGATGGTGTCATGGTATTATGTAAGTAGTGCTGAGGCATTGTGCATATTAAGGGTCGGTTTTGAAATGGCTGTTGTGATTCTGTCTATCGTTGCATACTAACCCAAAACTTTGCGGGCCCCACTTGATCCTGGTAGAGTCCATTAGAATACAAGCTTTGCGGTGGTATCAGTGTGGGTTTGGACTTGAGAATTATCCATATGAAGACGTACATGGTGAATTGTAAAGCCAGCACAGCCTGTGTCTCGGATAACGATGCCTACATCTCTCAACGTCAACTGTCTCATGTTAGTCTGTGATTTTCATTAAAGATTGTTGTGTGTGCTCTGTGGGTGTTCGGTTTGGTGTGTTTTTGGATAGACTGTTTGTCACAGGCCAATGCCTGCCTTATGCATATCCTTTTCATGTGCGACCTCCAAAATTCTGCTGAGACAGAAATGTTTTTCAGTAGTTTTTAAATGGAACAGTAAAGAAATTCTGTGTGATTCCCACTGGCACAGGAGCAGAAAAGAATAGGGGTGACCTGTTTTCACTGAATGACCTTAGAACCTTGACTAGTGACTAGATTAATGTCTAACGTAGTCAGGTTTATAGTCAAAGAGTGTGGTTTGATGTGTCGCCGGTACAATTACATTGTTTCAAGTGTAAAATGTCCTTTCTGTGTATAAGAGTGTATCACCACTTCCAACTGTATCACCACTTCTAGCTGTATCACCACTTACAACTGTATCACCACTTCCTACTGTATCACCACTTCCTACTGTATCACCACTCCCTACTTTATCACCACTTCCAACTGTATCACCACTTCTAGCTGTATCAACACTTCCATCTGTATCATCACTTCCATCTGTATCACCACTTCCATCTGTATCACCACTTCCATCTGTATCACCACTTCCATCTGTATCACCACTTCCAACTGTATCACCACTTCCAACTGTATCACCACTTCCAACTGTATCACCACTTCCAGCTGTATCACCACTTCTAGCTGTATCACCACTTCTAGCTGTATCACCACTACTAGCTGTATCACCACTTCCAGCTGTATCACCACTACTAGCTGTATCACCACTACTAGCTGTATCACCACTTCCAGCTGTATCACCACTTCTAGCTGTATCACCACTTCCAACTGTATCACCACTTCTAGCTGTATCACCACTTCTAGCTGTATCACCACTTCTAGCTGTATCACCACTTCCAACTGTATCACTACTTCTAGCTGTATCACCACTTCTAGCTGTTTCACCACTTCTAGCTGAATCACCACTTCTAGCTGTATCACCACTTCTAGCTGTATCACTACTTCTAGCTGTTTCATCACTTCTAGCTGTTTCAACACTCCTAACTGTATCACCACTTCTAGCTGTATCACCACTTCCAGCTGTATCACCACTTCTAGCTGTATCATCACTTCCAGCTGTATCACCACTTCTAGCTGTATCACCACTTCCAGCTGTTTCACAACTTCTAGCTGTATAGCCACTACTAGCTGTATCACCACTTCCAACTGTATCACTACTTCTAGCTGTATCACCACTTCTAGCTGTTTCACCACTTCTAGCTGTATAACCACTTCTAGCTGTTTCACCACTTCTAGCTGTTTCACCACTTCTAGCTGTATCACCACTTCTAGCTGTTTCACCACTTCTAGCTGTATAACCACTACTAGCTGTATCACCACTTCCAGCTGTATCACTACTTCTAGCTGTATCACCACTTCTAGCTGTATAACCACTACTAGCTGTATCACCACTACTAGCTGTATCACCACTTCCAGCTGTATCACCACTTCTAGCTGTATCACCACTACTAGCTGTATCACCACTTCTAGCTGTATCACCACTTCTAGCTGTATCACCACTACTAGCTGTATCACCACTACTAGCTGTATCACCACTACTAGCTGTATCACCACTACTAGCTGTATCACCACTTCTAGCTGTATCACCACTTCTAGCTGTTTCACCACTTCTAGCTGAATCACCACTTCTAGCTGTATCACCACTTCTAGCTGTATCACTACTTCTAGCTGTTTCATCACTTCTAGCTGTTTCACCACTCCCAACTGTATCACCACTTCTAGCTGTATCACCACTTCCAACTGTATCACCACTTCTAGCTGTATCATCACTTCCAGCTGTATCACCACTTCTAGCTGTATCACCACTTCCAGCTGTATAACCACTACTAGCTGTATCACCACTTCCAACTGTATCACTACTTCTAGCTGTATCACCACTTCTAGCTGTTTCACAACTTCTAGTTGTATCACCACTTCTAGTTGTATCACTACTTCTAGCTGTTTCATCACTTCTAGCTGTTTCACCACTTCCTACTGTATCACCACTTCCAACTGTATCACCACTTCCAACTGTATTCCCACTCAGCAATTTCTACTATATCAGATCTATATAATATTCATCACTATCATAGACTCCTAATACTGCATGTCATTAGGTTGCCAGTTGCTGCTTCTTTTATCTGTGTCAGTCAGAAAATAATATAAAAATAAAAAACTAAAACCCAGGTTCTTGATGTGAAGAAACTCACCATTCCATTGTCTCTGGAAACATCAACAGCATTGATTGTGCGAGCATGTGCTAAGACCTCGGCCCCACAGATGCCAGAGTTGGCGTTGTAGACACGCAGATGGCCAGATGCAAACCCAGCAATCACCACACTCTTCCACAAGGCTAAACTATTGCAGGGCCACCTAAGTGATACAGGGGTCATGATTCAGGTTGTCACGCATGACCAGTCAGAACTGCTGGATCTAAACATTGTAACTAGTATAATGTCTCACAGTGGTGAGGGATAGCTACAACTAGATTATTGCCAATAAAATAACACTATAAACTGCACACTTTGAACGGTCTTATAAGTAATGAAAAAACATCATAAACACTAAAGTATAATCTTTCTTGTAACTAACTAAGCAGATATTATAAACAGAAACGATAAACAGATACTATAAACTGACGTTATAGTCAGTCTCATGGATATTTAAAAAACAAAATATCCTCATCATGTGCCCTGCCAATGTAGGCGCTCATGCATCTCCACAGATCACGATCCCTGGTTGCCTGGAACAGCTCTCTTGAAGATATCCCTCCATTCCATCGTTTCAGCTCATCCAGCATCATCTCTCTTGGTTGTGTTTCTTCATGACATATCTTGGGAATATAATTTTGTAGTTTCCCATTGCTTTCCACATCCACATGGGGTATTTTAACCTGCACTTTTAACAATTTCCGACTATCAGGGCAAATATATATATATAAACTGACACTACAGTCAGACTGATTGGGTGATTGAGCCAAAGTGTCCAAGCAACAATCAGACTAGTGTAGGGTTCTAATCTTGTGTAATCAGTACTTCCAGTTTAAAAATGGCGGCTCCTAGATGACTTTGTAGCGACATGTGGTTTTATTAAAATTCACACTTTATCTGCACTTTTTTATAACAAAGTGCCTCTATTACAAATTAGTATATGATATTTTGCTATTCATGGAAACTAAGTATTCTGTGGTTTGGGGTGTTATGATAACATGTATCTTGTCAAACAGTGGCTGCTGTGTCGTAATGATAATGAAGCCGTATGAATCACGCTCCAATTCTAAACATAGGAGTCCACAAGTCAGATCACAGTCTACCCTAGCATCCACAAGTCAGATCACAGTCTACCCTAGCATCCACAAGTCAGATCACAGTCTACCCTAGCATCCACAAGTCAGATCACAGTCTACCCTAGCATCCACAAGTCAGATCACAGTCTACCCTAACATCCACAAGTCAGATCACAGTCTACACTAACATCCACAAGTCAGATCACAGTCTACCCTAGCATCCACAAGTCAGATCACAGTCTACCCTAGCATCCACAAGTCAGACCACAGTCTACCCTAGCATCCACAAGTCAGATCACAGTCTACCCTAGCATCCACAAGTCAGATCACAGTCTACCCTAGCATCCACAAGTCAGATCACAGTCTACCCTAACATCCATAAGTCAGATCACAGTCTACCCTAGCATCCACAAGTCAGATCAGTCTACCCTAACATCCACAAGTCAGATCACAGTCTACCCTAATATCCACAAGTAAGATCACAGTCTACCCTAGCATCCACAAGTCAGACCACAGTCTACCCTAGCATCCACAAGTCAGATCACAGTCTACCCTAGCATCCACAAGTCAGATCACAGTCTACCCTAGCATCCACAAGTCAGATCACAGTCTACCCTAGTAACCACAATTCAGATCACAGTCTACCCTAGCATCCACAAGTCAGATCAGTCTACCCTAACATCCACAAGTCAGATCACAGTCTACCCTAACATCCACAAGTAAGATCACAGTCTACCCTAACATCCACAAGTCAGACCACAGTCTACCCTAGCATCCACAAGTCAGATCACAGTCTACCCTAGCATCCACAAGTCAGATCACAGTCTACCCTAACATCCACAAGTCAGATCACAGTCTACCCTAGCATCCACAAGTCAAATCACAGTCTACCCTAGCATCCACAAGTCAGATCACAGTCTACCCTAGCATCCACAAGTCAGATCACAGTCTACCCTAGTAACCACAAGTCAGATCACAGTCTACCCTAGCATCCACAAGTCAGATCACAGTCTACCCTAACATCCACAAGTTAGATCACAGTCTACCCTAGCATCCACAAGTCAGATCAGTGTACCCTAGCATCCACAAGTCAGATCACAGTCTACCCTAGCATCCACAAGTTAGATCACAGTCTACCCTAGCATCCACAAGTCAGATCAGTCTACCCTAGCATCCACAAGTCAGATCACAGTCTACCCTAGCATCCACAAGTTAGATCACAGTCTACCCTAACATCCACAAGTCAGATCACAGTCTACCCTAACATCCACAAGTCAGATCACAGTCTACCCTAGCATCCACAAGTCAGATCAGTCTACCCTAGCATCCACAAGTCAGATCACAGTCTACCCTAACATCCACAAGTTAGATCACAGTCTACCCTAGCATCCACAAGTCAGATCAGTCTACCCTAGCATCCACAAGTCAGATCACAGTCTACCCTAGCATCCACAAGTTAGATCAAAGTCTACCCTAGCATCCACAAGTCAGATCAGTCTACCCTAGCATCCACAAGTTAGATCACAGTCTACCCTAACATCCACAAGTTAGATCACAGTCTACCCTAGCATCCACAAGTCAGATCACAGTCTACCCTAACATCCACAAGTCAGATCACAGTCTACCCTAGCATCCACAAGTCAGATCACAGTCTACCCTAGCATCCACAAGTCAGATCACAGTCTACCCTAGCATCCACAAGTCAGATCAGTCTACCCTAGCATCCACAAGTTAGATCACAGTCTACCCTAACATCCACAAGTCAGATCACAGTCTACCCTAGCATCCACAAGTCAGATCACAGTCTACCCTAGCATCCACAAGTTAGATCACAGTCTACCCTAGCATCCACAAGTCAGATCAGTCTACCCTAGCATCCACAAGTCAGATCACAGTCTACCCTAGCATCCACAAGTCAGATCACAGTCTACCCTAGCATCCACAAGTCAGATCACCGTCTATCCTAGCATTCACAAGTCAGATCACAGTCTACCCTAGCATCCACAAGTCAGATCACAGTCTACCCTAGCATCCACAAGTCAGATCAGTCTACCCTAGCATCCACAAGTTAGATCACAGTCTACCCTAACATCCACAAGTTAGATCACAGTCTACCCTAGCATCCACAAGTCAGATCACAGTCTACCCTAACATCCACAAGTCAGATCACAGTCTACCCTAGCATCCACAAGTCAGATCACAGTCTACCCTAGTAACCACAAGTCAGATCACAGTCTACCCTAGCATCCACAAGTCAGATCAGTCCACCCTAGCATCCACAAGTTAGATCACAGTCTACCCTAACATCCACAAGTCAGATCACAGTCTACCCTAACATCCACAAGTCAGATCACAGTCTACCCTAGCATCCACAAGTTAGATCACAGTCTACCCTAACATCCACAAGTCAGACCACAGTCTACCCTAGCATCCACAAGTCAGATCACAGTCTACCCTAGCATCCACAAGTCAGATCACAGTCTACCCTAACATCCACAAGTCAGATCACAGTGTACCCTAGCATCCACAAGTCAGATCACAGTCTACCCTAGCATCCACAAGTCAGATCACAGTCTACCCTAGCATCCACAAGTCAGATCACAGTCTACCCTAGTAACCACAAGTCAGATCACAGTCTACCCTAGCATCCACAAGTCAGATCACAGTCTACCCTAACATCCACAAGTTAGATCACAGTCTACCCTAGCATCCACAAGTCAGATCAGTGTACCCTAGCATCCACAAGTCAGATCACAGTCTACCCTAGCATCCACAAGTTAGATCACAGTCTACCCTAGCATCCACAAGTCAGATCAGTCTACCCTAGCATCCACAAGTCAGATCACAGTCTACCCTAGCATCCACAAGTTAGATCACAGTCTACCCTAACATCCACAAGTCAGATCACAGTCTACCCTAACATCCACAAGTCAGATCACAGTCTACCCTAGCATCCACAAGTCAGATCAGTCTACCCTAGCATCCACAAGTCAGATCACAGTCTACCCTAACATCCACAAGTTAGATCACAGTCTACCCTAGCATCCACAAGTCAGATCAGTCTACCCTAGCATCCACAAGTCAGATCACAGTCTACCCTAGCATCCACAAGTTAGATCAAAGTCTACCCTAGCATCCACAAGTCAGATCAGTCTACCCTAGCATCCACAAGTTAGATCACAGTCTACCCTAGCATCCACAAGTCAGATCACAGTCTACCCTAGCATCCACAAGTCAGATCACAGTCTACCCTAGCATCCACAAGTCAGATCACAGTCTACCCTAGCATCCACAAGTCAGATCACAGTCTACCCTAGCATCCACAAGTCAGATCAGTCTACCCTAGCATCCACAAGTTAGATCACAGTCTACCCTAGCATCCACAAGTCAGATCACAGTCTACCCTAACATCCACAAGTCAGATCACAGTCTACCCTAGCATCCACAAGTCAGATCACAGTCTACCCTAGCATCCACAAGTCAGATCACAGTCTACCCTAGCATCCACAAGTCAGATCAGTCTACCCTAGCATCCACAAGTTAGATCACAGTCTACCCTAACATCCACAAGTCAGATCACAGTCTACCCTAGCATCCACAAGTCAGATCACAGTCTACCCTAGCATCCACAAGTTAGATCACAGTCTACCCTAGCATCCACAAGTCAGATCAGTCTACCCTAGCATCCACAAGTCAGATCACAGTCTACCCTAGCATCCACAAGTCAGATCACAGTCTACCCTAGCATCCACAAGTCAGATCACCGTCTATCCTAGCATTCACAAGTCAGATCACAGTCTATCCTAGCATCCACAAGTCAGATCACAGTCTACCCTAGCATCCACAAGTCAGATCAGTCTACCCTAGCATCCACAAGTTAGATCACAGTCTACCCTAACATCCACAAGTTAGATCACAGTCTACCCTAGCATCCACAAGTCAGATCACAGTCTACCCTAACATCCACAAGTCAGATCACAGTCTACCCTAGCATCCACAAGTCAGATCACAGTCTACCCTAGTAACCACAAGTCAGATCACAGTCTACCCTAGCATCCACAAGTCAGATCAGTCCACCCTAGCATCCACAAGTTAGATCACAGTCTACCCTAACATCCACAAGTCAGATCACAGTCTACCCTAACATCCACAAGTCAGATCACAGTCTACCCTAGCATCCACAAGTTAGATCACAGTCTACCCTAGCATCCACAAGTCAGATCAGTCTACCCTAGCATCCACAAGTCAGATCACAGTCTACCCTAGCATCCACAAGTCAGATCACAGTCTACCCTAGCATCCACAAGTCAGATCACCGTCTATCCTAGCATTCACAAGTCAGATCACAGTCTACCCTAGCAAAGTAAGTTGCTAAAGTCGGAGGCAACCAGCCAGTAGGTGACAACATTCAGGATGCTTTGCACAAACACAACAGAGAATATATCTATATCTGCAAACGCTGGGCCCTGAGTGCAGGGACTGGCCAGTGGGCGTTGCAGAAACGCTGGGCCGTGAGTGCAGGGACTGGCCAGTGGGCGTTGCAGAAACGCTGGGCCGTGAGTGCAGGGACTGGCCAGTGGGCGTTGCAGAAACGCTGGGCCGTGAGTGCAGGGACCGGCCAGTGGGCGTTGCAGAAACGCCGGGCCGTGAGTGCAGGGACTGGCCAGTGGGCGTTGCAGAAATGCTGGGCCGTGAGTGCAGGGACTGGCCAGTGGGCATTGCAGAAACACTGGGCCGTGAGTGCAGGGACTGGCCAGTGGGCGTTGCAGAAATTTCGGGCCGTGAGTGCAGGGACTGGCCAGTGAGCGTTGCAGAACACATATTCAACAGATAATTCAGGCTGATCTCTGCCTAGGTGATGAGATTTTCAGTATAAAATGCTCTGTGCTGAGTGACAGAAGAAGTGCAAAAGCAAATGGAAGTGGCTGAGTGCAACAAAGCCTGGCCTCTGATACCACAACTTCCAGTTTGAGAATGGAGGTGGAAGCAGTCAGTGTAGCCTTCCACTGGCTTAGGACTTCAGTCATACATACATGTCACAGTTGTAACCGACTGGCCGAGCATGTTGAGAAAGGTGGAAACCAGTTTGCTTCGTGCACATTGATTCAAAGGTCCTGGGTAGTTAATGTCTTTTGATTATTTTCTCCAGGTCACACTGGTGTGTTGGGGAATAAATAGGCAGAATAGTGGCTGGTTCTGCCCCGTCTGGTGTGAAGTGATGCATGACAAGCTAGATATTGTAAGTGTCCTTTAGGTACAGAGGCACAAATAGACCATCATGGTGTGAGGAGAACTGCTGTGAGGAGTGCCCAGGAGATCTGTGATGTGAGAAGTGACCAGGAGATCTGTGTTGTGAGGAGTGACCAGGAGATCTGTGTTGTGAGGAGTGACCAGGAGATCTGTGATGTGAGAAGTGACCAGGAGATCTGTACTGTGAGAAGTGACCAGGAAATCTGTGCTGTGAGGAGTGACCAGGAGAACTGTACTGTGAGGAGTGCCCAGGAGATCTTTTCTGTGAGAAGTGACCAGGAGATCTGTGCTGTGAGGAGTGACCAGGAGAACTGTGCTGTGAGAAGTGACCAGGAGATCTGTGCTGTGAGAAGTGACCAGGAGATCTGTGCTGTGAGGAGTGACCAAAAGATCTGCCTGATGCTAAATGCTCAAGGGAGATGTGAGACAGATATATAATCACAACTGGAACAATATGGACCATCAGAGTTGGGACTCTGCAATTGCTGCTGAAGATGGGATGGGGCGCTTCTGAGATTGTCACATGTGCTGTGATGTTGATTCCTAATTATTCTTTGCGTTCCCCAGCTGTAAACTCTAGCGGAAAGTTCTGGCTGTTCTTCTACATCTGGGCTTTAGTCTAGCTACAGAACGTAAGTGCTGCATGCAGATCTGTTTTACACATCTGACTTATGTATATGCAGACTGCTGGTTTCCTCCTCTCAGGAAGATACACTCTGACTTTGAATTCCTATATCAGTCAGGTCCCAACACCAACATCTTCTACCCATCTATAATAGATCACAGGGGATGTCCCTGGTACCTCTACCATCCCCCATGCGTGACCCCGCCACTTGAACCAAGTTGTCATTTGTCGTCTCATTTATAAACAGACACAATAACCACACTAGCATCAGCAAAGAGTATAGTGCTACCCTATAAATATATGCAGGATTAAACAAACTGTCAACATTTGAAACAAAGAGTATAGTGCTACCCTATAAATATATGCAGGATTCAACAAACTGTCAACATTTGAAACAAAGATAATACCCAGTTCCTCTGATACTTGTCACCGGCGACAACTTGATCCCATTGAACGTCCACATGATGATAGTTCCCAAGTCATCTGCACTGGCCAGGACATCTTTCTCGGAGGTCAGATCTGAGACCGGGGCTTGATGTTCTGTAACAAGTCCAGATATATGTGAACAGTGGAACATCATCATCATCTGTTCCTTGTGCTATTGTGTGTCACACAGGACAGGCAGCTTATGGCTCCAGTATGTTTTCTCCTGTGTCTCACCAGGTGCATTCAGTGATTCCAGAATTTTCACTTTCAATTTTTTGTAACAGCAAAGAAAAACCAGCAAACTACAAAGAATCTTTCCAAGAACACCTCATTAGACGAGTGAGCTCATTTCAAAGCTAGTCTTCATCTACATCGAATTTGCCATCAGCATCACAGTTAAACCAGGATGTGCATCAACATATGAAGAGAAATACAACTTCCCGGTACAGAGTCACAACAAACTGCAAACAAGTCGGCAAATTACAACTAAGTAAGGCAGTACCATAATAAGACATTTTTGACTGACCAGTAACTTGATAGACTGCACAGCCAAGTGAACTGAGAGTCCAAGCTGAATGGTGATAACTTCTTCTTCAGCGATCTCTGGTCATCCGCATAATCCACCGTGGGTCATAAACTGGGATGTCTTTTCAAGGTCTTTGAGGTTTCCCCAAAGCTTAGTTGTCAGTTCTACTGGGTGTTGCCATATGTTGCTCCGCAGCTCCGCCAGGAGAGGACAGTCTTGCAGGACATGTTCTGGAGTCTGTTCAGCACGAAAGCACTGGCAGAGAGCTGTTTGGCTCATACCTAATTTATATGAGTGTTTATTGAGTCTGCAGTGTCCAGTACGTAAGCGAAAAACTGTGACTTGGTCTGTTCTGTTCAAGTGTTTCAGAAAATCTTCTTCGTAGTTATAACCAGTGTTGGTTTTCCAATCTGTTTCTGATTTTCTCCTAATGAGAGTTTTGACTTCTGGAAAAGATAGTGGCTGGTAGGTCTTTGGTTTGTGAATGGTGATAACAATCACAGGTAGATCAGATGACAGCCCAAGTGATGTCAGAGGATGACAGCAAGGGAAGGCTTGGAAATGGAAACAACTGGTGTAGAGAATTCCTGAATGTTGAAGAAGCCGAAAAACGACTGGCAAGACAGAGATCATCAAGTGTATCAGACGTCGGAGCTAAAAGACTCCTAAGTCTAGACAGGCAGCAAACAGTAAAGGCAAATCACATGCATACATAGTAAGGCATCAAACAAGGCATACTGTCTGGGAGGCTTCAGGGAGAGAGGACTACAGATGAGATCCGAGATCTGTTCTATTTAAAAAAAAAAACAGAATTATCTGGGCGTTTCTATCATAAAGACTGTCTCAGTTCTTGTGGAAACAAAGACTGTGAGACCAAACATAAGGAGTATCTCAGTTCTTGTGGAAACAAACACTGTCAGATCAAGATGTATTCTTGTCTGGGAGACTTCACGGAGAGCACTACAGATGAGATCTAAGATTTGTTCTATTTCAATCAAACAGAATTCTCTGGGCATTTCTAGGTAACAGAACATGTAACTATTAGCTTCTGTGCACTCCATCGATGCTAGTTTGTGTGATATTTTTTTGACTGATGCCCAAATTCTTTACTACCTCTCTTAAAAACATTTCTTCACCTGAGAACTTTGTGCTTCCCTGTTTCACTCATTTACTGTCTCCCCATGATCCTGCTCTCACAGTTTTTTTGATGTCCTTCATGATTTTATTATTCATATTCTCAGTTGCTAGTATATGTTACCCCATCCACTGTCAGTGGTGGGGAAAGTGTGTTGACAAGGATATGTGTTATTTCAACTTTTTTTTAAAAACAATATTTATAAAGAGAACACATTCAAACAGTTAGGAAATCAATGCTAAATACAAAAATTATACAAAGGGACATAACACATACTACAAACGGTATCCAACAATGTGATATTGTTTCCCTTGGCTGGAACATCAAACATGAGAATGGCTCCAGTCTCAGTTCCTGGGAAACAAAGATTGTGAAATCAAACATAAGGATTGTCTCAGTTCTTGAGGAAACAAAGATTGTGAGATCAAACATTAGGATTGTCTCAGTTCTTGGGGACTGAGTGACTGACTTTCTACCCCACCAGGACATTACACAAGCGATAAACACCCGATGACACAAAGTGCCACCATGTGGATGAGGATCGCTGCGGAGAGGTCCCAGAAACCGCGTTCAGACAATTGGCCATATTTATGGAGTGCCTATATTGTGGCCCCTGGCAAAAGCCAGGGTGGAGCTTCAAATAACAAAGCATTTCATCCTAAAAAGGACAAAACGATAATATCGTTCTGGGGAAACAAAGATTGTGAGATCAGACATAAAGACTGTCTCAGTTACCAGGGAAACAATCAAAGACTGAAATCAGAAACAATTATTGACTTTCTCTTACATCTGCCAAGCATATTTCTTTTCATGATAAGGCAAATAATCTTGAAAATCTACATTTCATCTTCCTGAGCAGTCTCTGGTCATGCACTGAAATCCACAATGGGCATATGTTGGATGTCAGCTCATGGTCTCTTGGGTGTCTCCAAAGCTTAGCTGTCAGGTCTAATGAAATGTTGCTTCCTAGCTCCTCCAGGAGACGACAGTCATGCATGACATGTTGCTTCCTAGCTCCTCTAGGAGACGACAGTCATGCATGACATGTTGCTTCCTAGCTCCTCTAGGAGACGATAGTCATGCATGACATGTTGCTTCCTAGCTCCTCCAGGAGACGACAGTCATGCATGACATGTTGCTTCCTAGCTCCTCCAGGAGACAACAGTCATGCATGACATGTTGCTTCCTAGCTCCTCCAGGAGACGACAGTCATGCATGACATGTTGCTTCCTAGCTCCTCCAGAAGACGACAGTCATGCTCTAAAGTCTGTTCAGTATGAAGACACTCATCATCATCATGTGCCAAGCTGGTAGTAGCAGAGACTCTCATGTTTCGCCACCTCACACCATCACCAGAATCCTGGATCATTCGATGCTGTTGTCTCTCCCAATCCATTTGGCCACACCATCACCAGAATCCTGGATCATTCACTGTTGTTGTCTCTCCCAATCCATTTGGCCACACCATCCAGGTACTTCTCTTTGTCTTTCTCGTGCTCCCTTTCCATCAATATTGCCACATTTCTGACATGATTCTTTCTCAAAACATGCAAAAAAACATTAACAAAGTCTAAGTTGAAGACACTAGCAATTTAAACAAACAGATGATGACAACAGAACCAGAAATCCACTGCTCACCAACACAAAGTGTCTTTTCTCCCACACCAGCCACACCTTTTGCATAGTTGCTTTTATCTGTGGACAGCCAAACAAAGTCAGGTGTTATTTGCTTTTATCTGTGAACAATCAAAGTCAGGTTTTATTTACTTTTATCTGTGGACAATAAAACAAAGTCAGGTGTTATTTGCTTCTATCTGTGGACAATAAAACAAAGTCAGGTGTTATTTGCTTCTATCTGTGGACAATAAAACAAAGTCAGGTGTTATTTGCTTTTATCTGTGGACAATAAAACAAAGTCAGGTGTTATTTGCTTTTATCTGTGGACAATGAGAATGAAACAAAGTCAGGTGTTATTTGCTTTTATCTGTTGACAGGCAAACAAAGTCAGGTGTTATTTGCTTTTATCTGTGGACAATGAGAATGAAACAAAGTCTGGTGTTATTTGCTTTTATCTGTTGACAGGTAAACAAAGTCAGGTGTTATTTGCTTTTATCTGTGAACAATTAAAGTCAGGTGTTATTTGCTTTTATCTGTGGACAATAAAACAAAGTCAGGTGTTATTTGCTTTTATCTCTGGACAGCCGGTGGGCTGCATGGTCTTGAGGCTTGGTATTCACCTCAAGTGCTAGAGTTTCCGGGTTTAATCCCCAGTAATGGTTATGATTTTTTCACATGGACTTGGACTTCTAGTAATTCCCCCTGGTCTCTGGGTAGTGAGATTGGATGGGCATGAGCATTTTTGCGCACATAAAAAAATCTCTTGACAGTTGGGAAAAAAAAGAGTAGCCTGACGGCGCTGCCCAGGAAACATTTTGATTTTAAAATCTACCCAAAGTATTTCAAAATCCTTGTTGGTGCTACAGAGCCTAAAGAAAAAATGGAGTACTTATGGGTTACACCTGTGTGCCATGATGTTGATCCATTCATCAAAACCTCAAGTCTATGTGGACAGCCAAACAAAGTCAGCTGTTACTTGTTTTTAGTTATAAAATTCATGGAGTTAGACTAAAAACACTTTCAGACAGTCATGAGGAGATCGGCGAGGTTAGGGTCATGTCTGATGTGTGATGAAGTTGATCTTTAAAATGAACAACGAACTGTAGCATGTTTTCTGCATCTGACTGCCAGGACATCTACTTCAGCCATTTCCTTGGTTCTGCTTCCCTAGTTTCACATTAGAATGACCTCAATGTTCCTGCAATACAACAACCCTGTCAGGCAGCAATCAGGTGTGGTTGTCACCTAGGCGTACACTGTCACCTGCATGAGAATCAACAACCCTGTCAGGCAGCAATCAGGTGTGGTTGTCACCTAGGCGTACACTGTCACCTGCATGAGAATCAACTTCAGTTGTGGTTACCATGTTGACTACAAAAAGCTACAGTTTTCTAGACAAGAAATGTGTGTCTATGGTGGATTCTTCCACAGGCAGGCATTCTTAGATCTTCTAGATACCATAAACTGCAACTTTATTATCCTCCACAATTTTTCAAAAAAAATCTGTTATCCCTAAATTTCTGCATTTTAAAATTGTGAAATGTGTGGCTTATTCCAACCACTATAAGTAAAAATAACAGTCATTTCCTCAATGGACACACATAATTTTCATAGAGCTATGATTTTAAATGGGTACTTACACAACATTAGTAAGCAATTCAAATAAACATTTACACAGATACAACTGAGATTTACACAAGGTTTATTATGACCTTAAGCAAAACAACAAAGGCAGCCCTTATTTTCTTGTTTGTTACATTACTACATCCCAACGTAGGCAGAGAATGTCTATAACATACACTGACCTAGTATTCATTACAACAACAACAAATCCATCACCCAAGCCACCCGAGAAGCGGAGGACAAATACAGAAAAACATAAAACAGAGCTACAACTTGGTATCAGTGAGACAACAGAAGAAGAAACTTCTTCCTGAGCTGACAATGAGAGACAGAGATGTAACCAGGATCAGTGGTGAGAAGAAGAAGTTACTGTCACTGACCTAATGAGTCACTCAGTGAATGAAAGTACACCATGGCAGCCCCATCTGGTTCAAAAATCTGAAAATACAAGAAAAAAAAAATTCAACAAAAAGTTCAATATTTTAACTTTGTTTAGGGTTTGATTACTAAAGGCCTTCTTTCAGTTGCCCACAAATATCTTCATCAGCTCTAGAATCTAATTGCTTTAGTTGCATGCCCTCTACAAGACACTGCACAACCAACCCCAACATATTTTGGCTGTGGTTTTTCTAGGCAAATCCTACATCCAGTTGTTTGCCATTGCAAACATTTTACCTTGCAGATGCCAAATACAGCGGATTAACCCCCCTAACTAAAGAGAGAATCTAAATGTGCATTTTGTTAGGACCAAATATGCTGGAAATATTCATTTTGTGAACAGCTTTTCTAATCTTGAAATATATTTTGAAATATACTGCCTACCTAGTAACCATTTGGTTGTTCTAATCTTGAAATATATTTTGAAATACACTGCCTACCTAGTAACCTATTTGGTTGTTTTATTACCAGTGGGCCAAGGATTGCCAGCATCCACACAGGCACTCTGATTTGTCACCTTTGTCTGAAAAGTCTAGGCATCTGATGCACTCCCAGACAGAGGGTAAGGGTACAATGTAGACCCTTCGATTGAATTTGACTTACATGTTATACCACTGAACCCTCTGGTTACGGTCGTCAGTGCACTTTTTCTAATGTTGAGTTTCAGGACACATACAGGCAAAGCTAAATGATCTGTGAGCTGCTGATCCACGGTTAGAGATAGTTTGATCTTCACATGAGTAATTATTTCTGCGAATCTTCACACGAGTAACTCATCTTGTGAATATTCTCATGAGTAATTATTTCTGTGAATCTTCACACGAGTAATTCTCTCTGTGAATCTCCACATGAGTATTTCATGTTGTAAATATTCTTGTGCGTAATTCCTGCTGTGAATCTGCTCATTACTCTTCTCACTGGCAACTCCTGCTATGAATCTTCTCACTGGCAACTCCTGCTATGAATCTTCTCACTGGCAACTCCTGCTATGAATCTTCGCATTACTCTTCTCATTAGCAATTGCTGCCATGAATCTTACCATTACTCATTCCTACTGTGAATCTGCTCATTAATAATTTATGTGGCGAATCTGCTTGTTACTAATTCCAGTTGTAAATCTACTTGTTAATAATTTCAGTTGTGAATCTGCTTGTTACTAATTCCAGTTGTGAAACTACTTGTTAATAATTTCAGTTGTGAATCTGCTTGTTACTAATTCCAGTTGTGAGTCTGCTTCTCACTAATTCCAGTTGTGAATCCCCTCAGGAGTAATTCCTGATATGAAAGTTCTTGTTAGAAGTTTCTGCTGTGAACTTTCTGGTTATTAACTATTGCCATGATGCAACACATGGATAATCTTGACAGACATCAGGAGCTGTATGTAGAGTTATCAGCTCCAAGACAATTGTAGACAGGCATCCGGAGCTGTATGTAGAGTTATCAGCTCCAAGACAATTTGCTATCAAGAATGTGACTGCTTTCTGCAGGCTACAATGAATTAACACTTATCTCCAGAGCAAGTGCTTGCATGCATGCACAAACACAAGAATGATTGATCTGGTTGTACTCACCTGGATTCCTCTCCCTGTGGTCAACACCAACAGTGACCTGGTCGGTAAAATGACCCACTTGACCTGTTGTGATCAACAAAACATTAGTTAGGTGCAGGGAGCAATATAATTAAACTGACAGATACACAGAGCGGTCAAACTGAACAGTTGAACTGAACAGTTAGACATACAGTTAGACTGAACAGTTAGACTAAACAGTTAGACTCAAAAGTTAGACTGAACAGTTAGACTGAATAATTAGACAGACAGAGCAGGGGAACTGTGCAATACTTATACACTACAAGCTGCTACATACACTAACAAAGTGAACACTGGGGAGACTGGAGTCCAGCTAATACCAGGAAAATAATCCAATGAACTATTACCAAAAAGTTTAACGAAAGATGGAAGAGAAACAATGTGCACAAAACAGACAAATCGATGATTAAACGAGTTTTTCTTGACATAAACCACACAACAGTAACAAGTGGTGAAATATTGAACTTTGCCCTTTATTATATCAGTGTGATTTGTGTCAAGTAAGTTTCCAGAGTAAACACCACGTTGTCTGTTGTGTGCATGTTGTTTACCTTTCACTGAACGTTTTGGTCACAGTTCTTGTGACTAATTTCTCCCTACTTACACACTGCAGAACAGCTTTCACAATATTGAGAACAAAAACAAACTATTAAACAGATTTCTAGACTGCAATTATTAAAGTTGCCACACATAAAATGAAGACAAAAAAGCAAGACTAAGCTGTTCCTTGTAGGAAAGTGATTGGTTGAGAAATAACTAATTAATATTCATAAACTGCTGATGTGAGTGAGGCTAGTGTTTGTAAACTTGCTCTCCCTCGAGGCAGTCAAGGCAAGCTGGTGCAGAGAGGTCATAGGCACACAATGTCAGCAAGCCACCTCAAGCATTTTTGTTTCATACCTCCCCCCCCCCCTTTTCCCCCCACAGCCACCATATTTTTTTTCACAAACAATGTCACCCCATGACTCAAAAAGCCACCAATCAGATTGAATCCAACAGGTCAAGAAGCAGACAGCTGGCTAAACTGTTATCAAACAGGTCAATTGTGGAACCGTCTGGGTAACCTGCTGGCTAAACTGTTATCAAACAGTTTTATTGTAGAACTGTTTGGGTAACCTGCTGGCTAAACTGTTATCAAACAGGTTTATTGTGGAACCGTCTGGGTAACCTGCTGGCTAAACTGTTATCAAACAGGTTTATTGTGGAACCGTGTGGGTAACCAGCTGTCCTTTGGGGTGGGTGTTGACTACTAGAATAGAATGGTTTAACAAATTAACAGAATTCTTTTCATATGCACCTGCATGACAAAGGGCACTCCCTGGGTGGCTGCCGGTTCTTTACAGAGAATCTGACGACCGACCACGGAAGATCCGTCGGTTGTGGCAGAGATCAGATTGACCAGTGACTTGTGGACAACGGCATAGTTGATCTGTCGCTTGTCGGGCACGGCATGGACTGAGAGGTTGTTGCAAAGAGAGGACGCCGTCCCCTTCATGGTAATAGGCACATCTTGTCGATACATGATGTCTACACAGAGATCCCGATGCTCAAACAATATAAGTTACAAATTATTTCTATGAGTCTAATTCTAGCTAATTTATCTTATCTACTGACAACAAATTATTTAAAATGTTTGTATTAATTAGATTAATTTTTCAACTTCAAGTTTAGTTTTTATCTTCTCAGGATGTGGTGAGCCGATCTCGGTCTCAATTGTCATCGGTGGCTATATTTTGATCAAGTCAAACTCTTTACATCATTATCCCTAGCAATTTTTTATGAATAATATGTTTAGTTAGTCAATTTATAACCGGAATATATAATTGAATGGACTATCGGTTGCTGAACCAGGGCCCCTACAAACACAAACAACAAGTTGTGAAACATTTGGCGACCGGAAGTTGTCGGTCTGTTGCTGTGAACGCCATATCAGCGCATGCGCAATAGCTACAGGAAGTCGCTGCTGATAACCCAGGGGTCATGAGCCGGCCTTGGGTCACGTCTGCCAGCCCGGGGCCCTCGGTAGGGATCGAGACCCTTGGCCAGCCGGTGAGTCTCACTCACTCGAGTCTGAGAGACCAGTCAACATCTCACATCACCTCACCGGGAGACGTACGGCGTTTCTGGGACATGTAGCTGTTTGACTCTCATCCGTGGTTTCTAGGGTGTGCACCTGTTTATGACTCTTATCCTTGGTATCTATGGTGTGCACCTGTTTGACTCTCATCCATGGTTTCTATGGTGTGCACCTGTTTGACTCTCATCCATGGTTTCTAGGGTGTGCACCTGTTTGACTCTCATCCGTGGTTTCTAGGGTGTGTACCGGTTTGACTCTCATCCGTGGTTTTTATGGTGTGTACCTGTTTGACTCTCATCCATGGTTTCTATGGTGTGTACCTGTTTGACTCTCATCCGTGGTTTTTATGGTGTGTACCTGTTTGACTCTCATCTGTGGTTTCTATGGTGTGTACCTGTTTGACTCTCATCCGTGGTTTTTATGGTGTGCACCTGTTTGACTCTCATCCGTGGTTTCTATGGTGTGTACCTATTTGACTCTCATCCGTGGTTTCTAGGGTGTGTACCTGTTTGACTCTCATCCTTGGTTTCTATAGTGTGTACCTGTTTGACTCTCATCCTTGGTTTCTAGGGTGTGTACCTGTTTGACTCTCATCCTTGGTATCTATGGTGTGTACCTGTTTGACTCTCATCCATGGTTTCTATGGTGTGTACCTGTTTGACTCTCATCCATGGTTTCTATGGTGTGTACCTGTTTGACTCTCATCCATGGTTTCTAGGGTGTGTACCTGTTTGACTCTCATCCTTGGTTTCTAGGGTGTGTACCTGTTTGACTCTCATCCTTGGTATCTATGGTGTGTACCTGTTTGACTCTCATCCATGGTTTCTACGGTGTGCACCTGTTTGACTCTCATCTTTGGTATCTACGGTGTGCACCTGTTTGACTCTCATCCGTGGTTTCTAGGGTGTGCACCTGTTTGACTCTCATCCTTGGTATCTACGGTGGGCACCTGTTTGACTCTCATCCGTGGTTTCTAGGGTGTGCACCTGTTTGACTCTCATCATTGGTATCTACGGTGTGCACCTGTTTGACTCTCATCCGTGGTTTCTAGTGTGTGCACCTGTTTGACTCTCATCCTTGGTATCTACGGTGTGCACCTGTTTGACTCTCATCCATGGTTTCTATGGTGTGCACCTGTTTGACTCTCATCCTTGGTATCTATAGTGTGCACCTGTTTGACTCTCATCCGTGGTTTCTAGGGTGTGCACCTGTTTGACTTTTATCCGTGGTTTCTAGGGTGTGCACCTGCTTGACTCTCATCCGTGGTTTCTAGGGTGTGCACCTGTTTGACTCTCATCCGTGGTTTCTAGGGTGTGCACCTGTTTGACTCTCATCCGTGGTTTCTAGGGTGTGCACCTGTTTGACTCTCATCCATGGTTTCTATGGTGTGCACCTGTTAAACTCTCATCCGTGGTTTCTAGGGTGTGTACCTGTTTGACTCTCATCCGTGGTTTCTAGGGTGTGCACCTGTTTGACTCTCATCCATGGTTTCCAGGGTGTGCACCTGTTTGACTCTCATCCATGGTTTCTATGGTGTGCACCTGTTAGACTCTCATCCGTGGTTTCTAGGGTGTGTACCTGTTTGACTCTCATCCGTGGTTTCTAGGGTGTGCACCTGTTTGACTCTCATCCGTGGTTTCTAGGGTGTGTACCTGTTTGACTCTCATCCGTGGTTTCTAGGGTGTGCACCTGTTTGACTCTCATCCATGGTTTATATGGTGTGCACCTGTTAGACTCTCATCCGTGGTTTCTATGGTGTGCACCTGTTTGACTCTCATCCGTGGTTTCTATGGTGTGCACCTGTTTGACTCTCATCCGTGGTTTCTTGGGTGTGTACCTGTTTGACTCTCATCCGTGGTTTCTAGGGTGTGCACCTGTTTGACTCTCATCCATGGTTTCTATGGTGTGCACCTGTTACACTCTCATCCGTGGTTTCTATGGTGTGCACCTGTTTGACTCTCATCCGTGGTTTCTAGGGTGTGCATCTGTTTGACTCTCATCCACGGTTTCTACGGTGTGTACCTGTTTGACTCTCATCCGTGGTTTCGAGGGTGTGCACCTGTTTGACTCTCATCCGTGGTTTCTAGGGTGTGCACCTGTTTGACTCTCATCTTCGGTTTCTAGGGTGTGCACCTGTTTGACTCTCATCTTCGGTTTCTAGGGTGTGCACCTGTTTGACTCTCATCCATGGTTTCTAGGGTGTGCACCTGTTTGACTCTCATCCATGGTTTCTAGGGTGTGTACCTGTTTGACTCTCATCTGTGGTTTCTATGGTGTGCACCTGTTTGACTCTCATCCTTTGTTTATATGGTGTGCACCTGTTTGACTCTCATCCTTGGTATCTACGGTGTGCACCTGTTTGTCTCTCATCCATGGTTTCTAGGGTGTGCACCTGTTTGACTCTCATCCGTGGTTTCTAGGGTGTGTACCTGTTTGACTCTCATCTGTGGTTTCTATTGTGTGCACCTGTTTGACTCTCATCCTTGGTATCTACGGTGTGCACCTGTTTGACTCTCATCCGTGGTATCTACGGTGTGCACCTGTTTGACTCTCATCCTTGGTTTCTATGGTGTGCACCTGTTTGACTCTCATCCTTGGTATCTACGGTGTGCACCTGTTTGACTCTCATCCGTGGTTTCTAGGGTGTGCACCTGTTTGTCTCTCATCCATGGTTTCTAGGGTGTGCACCTGTTTGATTCTCATCCGTGGTTTCTAGGGTGTGTACCTGTTTGACTCTTATCCATGGTTTCTATGGTGTGCACCTGTTTGACTCTCATCCTTGGTATCTATGGTGTGCACCTATTTGACTCTCATCCGTGGTTTCTAGAGTGTGCACCTGTTTGACTCTCATCCTTGGTATCTACAGTGTGCACCTGTTTGACTCTCATCCTTGGTATCTACGGTGTGCACCTTTTTGACTCTCATCCTTGGTATCTACGGTGTGTACCTATTTGACTCTCATCCTTGGTTTCTATGGTGTGCACCTGTTTGACTCTCATCCTTGGTATCTACGGTGTGCACCTGTTTGACTCTCATCCTTGGTTTCTATGGTGTGCACCTGTTTGACTCTCATCCTTGGTATCTACGGTGTGCACCTGTTTGACTCTCATCTGTGGTTTCTGTGGTGTGCACCTGTTTGACTCTCATCCTTGGTTTCTACGGTGTGCACCTGTTTGTCTCTCATCCGTTGTATCTACGGTGTGCACCTGTTTGTCTCTCATCCATGGTTTCTAGGGTGTGCACCTGTTTGACTCTCATCCTTGGTATCTACGGTGTGCACCTGTTTGACTCTCATCCTTGGTTTCTATGGTGTGCACCTGTTTGACTCTCATCCGTGGTATCTACGGTGTGCACCTGTTTGACTCTCATCTGTGGTTTCTATGGTGTGCACCTGTTTGACTCTCATCCTTGGTATCTACGGTGTGCACCTGTTTGACTCTCATCTGTGGTTTCTATGGTGTGCACCTGTTTGACTCTCATCCTTGGTTTCTATGGTGTGCACCTGTTTGACTCTCATCCTTGGTATCTACGGTGTGCACCTGTTTGTCTCTCATCCATGGTTTCTAGGGTGTGCACCTGTTTGACTCTCATCCGTGGTTTCTAGGGTGTGTACCTGTTTGACTCTCATCTGTGGTTTCTATGGTGTGCACCTGTTTGACTCTCATCCGTGGTTTCTATGGTGTGCACCTGTTTGACTCTCATCCATGGTTTCTATGGTGTGCACCTGTTTGACTCTCATCCGTGGTTTCTAGGGTGTGCACCTGTTTGACTCTCATCCGTGGTTTTTATGGTGTGTACCTGTTTGACTCTCATCCGTGGTTTTTATTGTGTGTACCTGTTTGACTCTCATCCGTGGTTTTTAGGGTGTGTACCTGTTTGACTCTCATCCGTGGTTTCTATGGTGTGCACCTGTTTGACTCTCATCCTTGGTATCTACGGTGTGTACCTGTTTGTCTCTCATCCATGGTTTCTAGGGTGTGCACCTGTTTAACTCTCATCCCCTGTTTCTTCATCCTGCAGATCGCAATCCTGGAAAGCAAACTGCTTACGTTTTTAAGAAATGTGGGCAATTAGTAGTAGATTTTTTTATCCCACCAAGACATCACACAAGCGATAAACACCCGATGACACAAAGTGCCACCATGTGGATGAGGATCACCGTGGAGAGGTCCTAGAAACCGCATTCAGCCTTTAGGCCATATTTATGGCCGGGCTATATTGCGGTCCCTGGCAAAAGCCAGAGTAGGGCTTCAAATAAGGAAACATTTCATCCTGTAAAAGACGGTAAAAAATTGTATGAAGCTATGTGTACAATAGCTGTGTACAAATACTGTGTACAATAACTGTGTACAATAGCTGTGTACCATAGCTGTGTACTTATACTGTGTACAATATCTGTGTACAATAGCTGTGTACAAATACTGTGTACAATATTTGTGTACAAT